TAGACAGACGCCAGGGTGGACAGACGCGGGGGTGGACAGATGCCGGGATAGACAGACGCCGGGGTGGACAGACGCCGGGGTGGACAGACCCAGGGAGGACAGACGCCGGTGGACAGGTGGTTGGCTCCGCCTCGGGGGCCGGCTGCTGCGTTGGTTTCCACCGTCTTCAGCTCCTTGGACGGCAGGCCTAGCAGTGGAGTTGCTGGTCACGAGGGACGGTGAGGGCGGCCTCGTCACCGGGTCGCGGTGATGCTGCGTTTAGACGGAGTGTTGCAGCCTTTACGTTGATGGAGGAAGGGAGAACGACTTCCATTGTTCTGACGACGATCCCACGGAGCGGACCTGCCCTGTTTTGATAAACGAGACGGGGTGTGGGGCGAGGAGAGGGGAGGGGCGCTCGCCCCCGAGGGCTTCGACCGGGCTGTTCCTCAGGCGGGAGTGCCGGTCTGTTGTCCAGTGATTTCTCGGATTCCCGGACACAACACGTGACAAGACGCCTGTTCACGCTCCTTCACAGCAAAGGTCACGGTCCGGGGAGCAGGGTCCCAGCAGCCGGGGCAGGGGCGGCGCCACGTGGCCAGGGAGGTCTGGCCCAACAGCCCCGCTGCTCCGGAGGAAGGAGTCAGAATAAGGTGGTTCCAATGACTTTAAAAATAAGCGCAACACAGCGTTTTTCCTGATTTCCGGGAAAAGCTGTGCTCAGGGTCAGCGGTCAGCCGATCGGGGAGAACATGGGACAGTGAACGGGACGCGCAGGACCGTCCCCTCGGCGACCCTGACGTCACCGCACGTGACGTCGCAGCACAGGCCCTGGACCGAGTCCACCCACATCCACACACGGATCTACGCACGGATTTCAGAGCCGAAGGGAGAGGGGGCAGGATCGCCAGTGACGGGGCGTCACCCACGGGCTGGCTCCGCTCAACCCCCTGGAGATCCAGCCCACGGCCCGGCCTGTGCCCCGACCCGAACTGAACCGTGACCTCCTGGTTCCTAGGTCGATGCTCGAGTCAGGACTGTCTGCACCCCCCGCACCCCGACCCGGACGCCGGCTGCCCGGCTGCCCTTGGATAAAGGGCTGCAGTGTCGGGGCCATTCCTGAAGACTCACAAAAAGGAGAAAAATCCGACCTGTGGGGGCACAACTGCATTTTTTAACTCCTGCCCGGCCTGGAATTAAACTCTTAAAACCCTGTACGCACGTGTTCAAATACCCGAGTTCACGCCGAGTCCATCAGCGATCCTCCACTCCCCTCCCACAGACACCCACACACAGCCCCCCGTCCGTGTCACGCACACGCCACGCCCCCGTCCATGTCACACACACGCCAC